AGGAGTAGGAGTAGGAGTAGGAGTAGGAGTAGGAGTAGGAGTAGGAGTAGGAGTGGGAGTGGGAGTGGGAGTGGGAGTGGGAGTAGGAGTAGGAGTAGTAGTAGTAGTAGTAGTAGTAGTAGTAATAAGTAGAAGTTGTATTACTACTAGTGGTGGTAGTGGTAGTAGAAGCAGTAGAAGTAGTAGTAGTAGTAGTAGTAGTAGTAGTAGTAATCATAAGTAGAAGTTGTGACACTACTAGTGGTGGTAGTAGTAGTAGTAGTAGCAGTAGCAATAGTAGTAGCAGTAGCAATAGTAGTAGTAGTCGTCGTCGTAGTAGTAGTTTCAGGTAGCAATAGTAGTAGCAGTAGCAATAGTGGTAGTAGTGGTAGTAGTAGTAGTCGTCGTCGTCGTCGTAGTAGTAGTGCGGTAGTAGTAGCCGCGGCAGGAGCGGTAAGAGTAGTAGTCGTCGTCGTGGTGGAATTTTTAGTAAAAGTCGCAGTAGCAGTTCAGGATCAGGTAGCAATGGTAGCAGCAGCGCAGAAGTGAAGTTGGCAATAGAACTATGTGATCGCAGCAGTTCTACATCTACATCATCCAACACGGCCTCAATGACCAAATCTACGTCTTCGTCTTCCACATCGTTCCCTGCAGCGACGTCGTCTTCTGGGTCATCGGAGCTTTGCCAGCACAGACGTTGCCCCAAAACGTATTGAGCACACCAGCATAGATGTTGTTGTGGACAGTTTCGGAAGTAACCCGAGTAGTATCTAGTCTTTCGAGACCGCCATTTCGGTAGTCGTTCGGTATCATGAGCAAGGAGAGCAGCAACACCCCTCTCCCCACAGGTGGTCATCGCTTGGAGAGATCACGTTCAGGGTGCGATTGAGGTTGGGTGCATTTCCAGCGTCGTTTCGTTTCATGAAACTGTGTGCCCGTTCCATATGCCCATTCTGAGTTTTTCAACGTCTGCTGCCTCTGTTGCTCAATTTCACTACTGCTTGCTTCTCCTACGACTCCGGAAGCTTCGGTGGTCCTGCAAGCGTGCTTGCACGTTGCACGTGGGGCACCCAGACTGTATATAGAGCCGTGGCAATGCTTCGAATGCATGTCTAATCGTGCTGCTGCTGTGCTCGCTTGACCTGAAGCATGCGAATTCCCACTATATCTCCGGTTGTTGCCGACCTACAACGCAATATGTCATACCACATCCAACCGTCATCAGTCCACGTCTACCGCGCGAAGCTGGGCGACTTGGACGTCCTCTTCCACCTCTACATCGTCCTCAACAGTTGTGGTGCTCTGCCAGCACAGAAAGGACCCATGACAGAAGAAGGAGAACCATCTAGGTCGATTTTGTGGCTGTCAGACGTGCAAGCAGAACCGACCAGCGCTTCAATGTTGCCGTGTTGTCACGACAGTCCCAAAACCTGTACCTGTACCCCGAAACTGGCCCTAAACCCAGCCGAAGAGATGTAGTCCCACGATGTGTAGTGAGCTCGTTGCAGCCAAACTGTCAAAGCCTCTTCTGCGGCAACTGGAGGCATTCCAGAACAGCCCCAATGCTACTAGAAAGCCGCCTCACCCCGCCAGATCTTGAAGTCTCGTCGCTTACAGGCCTCTTCCGCCCCATGAGCCACAAGCATTGTAGGATTTGGCATGCTATGAAGACTTGTTCTATGTGCCTTATCGAAATCCTACTAAGCCTACAGAAGCCCGTAGCTCGAAGGCCTCGGCTAAACCCTTTCAAAAGGTTGAAGATGGGGCATCCAGCGCGTCAGTTCAAGTGGCAACCTTGCTTGCAGCCGCTTTGCACGCAGATCCAGTGGTTTACGGGTTTACAATCGGCCATAGGAGTCTAGAATCTCGAAAGGTTCTAGGACTAATCTTCAGTTTTATAGTTGGAGCACGGTGAGGTTGCAGCCTGATGGCTGCAGGCTGTTAGTGTAGGGTCAGAGACCTTACGGAACAGACTGACGTCTGCGCTCCGCAAGCCGTCGATCCCTCCAATCTTTTGTGCTCATCAACAGACCCATTGTTTCTAAACCAGGAAACCCCAATGCCTAAATGCCTTTAACTCGAAAACCCTAAATCCGGATCTCACAGGTTGCGTGTGGAGGATCTATTACACTGGTGGCTTTCTTCTTCGCCTGCAGGACGGCACATCTGAAAGGACTCCGTGAGTTTGAGATGCAAATTTGAGGTTTTCCGATTTTCGAAATGTACTATTCACGGTTTACGTTTGAGGAGGGGACAGAATGGAAGTTTGAGAGCTTTAGGGCTTGCTAGGTGGGTATAAGGTTGTTTACTGACCTACTACAGTAGGGTTTATTCCCCAAGCAGCGCGGTAACGTGAAGCCGGCGGCCGCGTCTTCCGGGGACGAGCGACTCGCAGGAGGCTCCAAGTGTCTCAAATCCTGGCAGAGCCGCGCCATGACTGCATCCTCTTCACTGTGCTGCCACCTCCGAAAGTCGTGCGCCCGCCACAGTCGAGCATGCAGTACCGTCAATCAACCAATCACTATACATATATATATATATATATACATACATACATACATATATCGGTTCTCTTTAGAACTGTAGATGTGCCTTCAGACCATCCTTTGACTCCACCACCATCAGTTCTACACTTACTACGGCCGCAACATCACAACACAATCCTGGCAAGAAGCTGCTTTCAGGGTTTTAGCAGGTCTACTGCAACTCGTCAATCGGAAATCTGTGAGATCCTCCCGATGCAAACCCTAAGTGACGGTGCCTTTGACAGCACCCCAAACCCTAAGCCCTAAATCCAACCTCGTAACCCTGGATTCCACTGCTTCTTCTCATGTCCTGAATGCCCACAAGAACCCTACCCAAGATCCAGCACCCCCAGTACCCTACCGTGCTCAAACTGTATGTCTCCAAACGCGGAAGGTTCAGAGTTTATGGGGAAGCTACCAACCCTGACGCCGGAGTCACTTTCAAACCTAAACTTCCAAAGCCAAAGCCGCAGGAGAGGCAGTACACGCGGCCCAGCGAGCTAAGTTCGAGGATGCGGGAGGGACTTATGCGCTGGGTTTTTGAGCAGTTTCTTCGGACAAGATGCAAGTGCAGAAAGATTGGCTTCATGCTTTGTGGTTGCTGCAAACTTGTGAGCCTCGGGTCTCTCAGGATTGAGGATTTCAGGTCACAACGGCTGCGCGTGTCGGGGGTTTGGGATTTTCTGCTGCGCTCAGGGGTCAAGGCTTTGAGTTTGAGCTCTTTAGAGTTGTAAGTTCAGGGTTCAGCCTGTGAAGGGCACATGGTATGGTTCATGAACAATCTTCGAAGCGTCTTGGAAGCAGCCTTCAATGTCAGTTTTCCACCGTTTCATCCATCGGACTCCTATCACCATAGTTATCGTCATCGCCATCGTTGTGATCAACATGAACATTCAACAACATGCAAAACAATATCAACACCAGAATCATCATAATCATCATACTTACCAGCATCATGCTAATCAGGAGCATCAACATGTTCATGGCAGCTATCATCGTGATCATCAGCATCAGCATCATCATC